TTATATAGTTTTGTTGTTTTGTATATTTTTCATTTGCATGTGCTAATTCCATTAAATGCTTATGTTACAAATAAAATTATTATAAATTACCCCCAAAATCCTGTTTAATTGAACGAAGAAGAGCGTTACCCGTTTACGGGTGACGGGCCCCCACGGAAACATAGCCGTCACCCAGGTATGGGTGACGTGACGATCAACGTGTTAAAATCAGTGTATTTTTCAAATATGTGCCATTCACAGACCATTTATGTTTTTGATTTGATTTTTGTACATCAGTGTATTTTTCAAATATGTGCCATTCACAGACCATTTGTGTTTTTGATTTGATTTTTATACGTTGTGTTTAGTACCTGAATACCTTTGAAGCTGACACAGACTTTTAATACAATAGTAATAAATTTTCCTAATTTTTTATGTAACATTTTTATCAAATTTAACGAGACTTTTAAAAAAAGTACCGAGTAATACCTCTGTGATTTTTTGTATATTAATTTTGAACATATAAATCTTCATATTAATGTCAAATTTAACTGCTCAAATTTGCTGAAAATGAAGAAAATTGTCAAAATCATTAATGACGCGTTCAGTATTCTTGCGTCCTATCCTACTATTATACGTGTTATTCAATTTTTTTATTACTTATATTGTTATTTAACTACCTAATGAAAATTACAAAACACAAATAAAAGAGAAATTTTGAATGTATATGTTAGCACAACCTAAGTAAATTTAACACACGCTGTGTTAGTCAAGTTAAAATGTATTAAAGTGTAGTGATAAGCGACTGCTAAATGGTTCGGTATCTGTCTCGCTCGACGGCTATTTCCAAACTGCTCAAATTTGCTCAAAATGAAGAAAATTGTCAAAATCATTATTGACGCGTTCAGTATTCTAGCGTCCTATCCTACTATTGTACGTGTTATTCAATTTTTTTATTACTTATATTGTTATTTAACTACCTAATGAAAATTACAAAACAAAAATAAAAGAGAAATTTTGAATGTATACAAAGTTACGATATTTGTCTCTCAAACCCCTGTATGCGAAACGGCCGCTACGATTTTTCCGGTATTTCCGCGAAACTGATGAACAAATTTTTCAAACAAAAGTTAATCTGCATTCAGTTGACAATAAATCGTGTTAATGAAAATTTACAAAAAAGTTTTTATTCCATATAAACCATATATTTTTTTATGTGCCAATCAATGCATATTTGAATTCTCTTCAAAAAAGTATTAGAGAACTTAGGTCGAAAATTGATTAATTAGGAATTATGATTTTTGTCCCGAACGCCCATATACATACTCGAAACACTGCGTCTCACCGAGATTCAAAGGAAATCTCCTTATTCTTACTCTGCGCTCAGGTTGCTCGAGCGTCACGTAGTGACGTAGATAATTGGCGGAAAGAGCCGAACAGGCTTTGCACACGGATAGAGCTACCGCTACACTTGCGTGAGAGCACGAGGACGGTATAGTGGGAGACAGCGGTAGGTCATAGTGGGGGTAATTGCTTTCGCCCACGGCCCAGGATTCTGGCATCACTGGCTGGAACCAATTAGTACGTAAGGCCGGGGTCTCACTGTATGTATTTATTTTCGTACGTGTGTTTACTGGAATAAATGGTTTAACCCATTACAGAACAAGAAATTCGGTGAACGCATGATAAATAATTATGCTAAGCGATAATTTCGTAAGAATATACTGCGATGTTCCAATATTTATGAGAGGACTGTATGTGTATCTATATCTCAGGTGTATAGAACATTTCAAAGTATTTAAAGCGCTCCATATCTCAAGCGTAAAATTTCAAACCAAACAAAAATTTCGCGATAAGATTCAGAATTTGTTGAATTATCCTATATTCCGTAACCTTTTTATTAACAGTATCAAATAGTAAAATATTATCAACTCGGATTGACGATAAACATGACCTTACGTTAAATTTAAACTACCATAAAAATTTAGCCATCACAAAAAACAATAGCAATTTTTAACCCTTTGCACTCGAGAGGTGACTGAGAATCTGCATTAACCCTTTTAATTCCACAGGCTGATTTGGGTCCATTTAATTTATGTATGAAAAATCCTTTGATATCCGTTTTAGTTATAGCAAATTTCTAGCTATTGTGGAAATTTCATCTAAATATCTGAAAAAATGTAGCGACCAGAAATTTTTCAATAACATTTTACATATTCTTGTTTCTCCTATAGTATTTTTAATAATACTAAATAATCGATTCAGACTCTATTGAAACAATCAGTATCCCCAAATTGATTGTTTCAAACAAGTATTTATAAATCAACTAATTTTATTTAATTAATTAAACTCCATCTATGTATTTAATCCCAAAATTGATTGTAGTAATAATTTGGGAGTTAGTTAAATTTAACTAATTAAATCAACATTGTAGGATTTGGGAAATCGAGATTGACGGGGAAGGACTCGAGACGATTGGATTTAATATAAACTTTAATAATACAAGAACAAATTACCATAAACGAATTAAAAGAAACACAACGGACGACCGCTAGGTAACTACTAAATCGTGGCCCGTGGCAAAAACGATCCTCTACCTTTCCGACGTTCGGCGAAGAAAGCCGAATAGATCGATAGTAGTCACCGGCTCCCGACTGAACTATCCCTTATTTGTGCTTAATTAATTAATTTAAAAGTTAATATACCTATATTTATTGTTTAACTATCTTGTATAGTATAAAAATAGATTAAATATTGAAATACAACAGCTATATCCTCTAATATGTGTATAATTTGTTTCTACGTTAATTCTGACAAATTTCATCAATTTTATTTACCAAACAATCACCGATTTGTTACTTCCCTGTAGCAAAAAAATCTTCGAGTGTCGATAATGTCGTAATAAAACATCAACCAGATCTTGCAAAACAAAAAAAAAAAATGAACAAAAAGTAACTTCCTTCGTGAAACATCGATTACATTACACGCGCGCTAATATCAAGCGAGTCTGACTTTGCAAATATTTAATACCCCATTAATCACGCAAGATTAACTTCAGGTCCGACGTAAACAAATATTCGTGGTAAGAATGAACGAGTCAGCGATATCGGTTCCTGTCAAGTATCGTTTCTACAAATTTCGGTTAACTTCGCCACATCATTACATATCACCCGTTATATCTACGAAAAGACAACTTGTTCTCGGAGGCAGCAAGATACGCAGAGAGCGTTTGCTACAATCGCAAGTCACGGTGAGCCATGCCTCTCTGAGGCCTTCACGTATGTATGTATAAAGCTGAGAAGCCTTGGAAGGTTGCAGTTAGTTATTTCAGAAGCGTGCTAAACAGATAGTCACTTGTAATGGATACTGCAGATTAGTGTGACATTGTCGTACGGCAGTCTGAGCATATGAAAGACGGGACATAAACAAAAACATCTGCATACACTTGTAAGTTCTGTTTGTTTCTATAAACACGTGTTACCGTGACGTTGTAATTGAAATGTACTTTTTTAATAATGGCAAATTATAATTGAACAAGTGAGAAGACCGAGGAAAGAATTAGACTGCGAAGTTTAGTATAATTTAGTAAATAAACAGATGTATCTTTTTGGATTTCTTGAATATAAGGTACAGTGGAATCCTTTTCTTCTTCTTCTTCTTCTTACAGATTCAATTAAAGAATATTCAGCATACTGTACCTCTTAAGCAGTTTCAATGATTTATCGACAGATTTTTATAAACTGTCGGATTTCCTATGGTAAATTAAATTTAGGCTGCTATTTATCCGGTCGGTATTTAAAAAAAATTTTAGTCAGTGTTTTAAGTTAATTTTAATCGGGTCAGTATTTAAGATGAAACATCAGTGCGTAATATAAGTGGTAAATATAAAAATTGAAAATTAGTAAACATAATAGTTTGTCGGTATTTTAAATAGACGGTCGGTGTGTATAATAAATTATCCTAACCTAATAAAAAATAAATTAATACCGACGAAATAACCAAACTTGTATTGACAAAATGCGATTTAATACTGACAATTAATTATTTATACCGACCAAATAAATAGAAGTGTTTTATTTGATTTAAAACTTCATTACCTGCAAGGTAGCATCAATCTTTAATGTGTGCAATAATACACCCACCAAATTACGTTATTTGTATGAGAAACATGCAAACTTGCACATTCTTCAATTCACAAATCTTGAAGATAGCATAAATAACTTTATAGTCTAGTGAATCTCACAATCATTATTCAGGATACGTTTAATCATTATTGCTGCGCAAAAATGACGTAACATGGATGTGGGATACAGCATACTGATGGAAAACATTGCACACCATGTGGTACAAAAAGTATTTCTAATTTGTTTTGAAAATGTACCTACAATATAAACAAAATTTGCAAAGTTTCATATCAACGAAATTCACGTAGGTTATAAATTTAGTTGCGTGACGAATTAAAAAATTTTATAATAAATCTGATCTATAAATTGCACTGCAAGTGATTACTATCATTATCTTGTAATTACTGATTACGAAAGGCTCAATGTGACAATCTCTTCGTATGTGTGTATTTCAATATACAGAGTGACCAAATTTAATCTATAAATGCTAATATTTCGGAAATCACTTTGAATTGGTAAACTAAGTTCGTTAAGTGAAAATCAGTTGAATTCTTTGAAATGACACATAGTACATTTTTTCTATAAAGTGATAGACCGTAACGAGACGAATTCAACGACCTCGTATGTTGTTAATTTTATTGGAAAATACAACGACAAAACGGTGAATGAACATTAAAACTGTGGAACATCGGAAAACACCAATTCGGTGAATTAGTGCCTTTGCAGGTACTCGAATAAATTGCTCTAAACATCCACACACGTTTGAATACGCCTTTTGATGTCATATGGCACGACCGTAAGCATTTCTGAAGTGACATTTTTGACATCACGCGAAGTAACGCTTACATTTGTTAGGCGAAAATCGCGAAAAACTACTAATCCCACGCACGACGTTAGACGTGTCGATTCGCGATCTTTTTAGCGAACTTACATCTGTAAATACGTAAAGTATAATACTAGTGTCCTCTTTCATCTCATTTAAGGGGGTATTCTAGTGTGACAGTCGTTTTTTCAGGACTTCTTTGCAAATTTATTATAGAAATTCAGTAACAGTTATTAACATAAGCTTTATTCCTATGTATTCACTTGTCTTTGGAGAATGATTACAAAGTTTTTTGTTGAAAAATAATTAAATTTGGCTGCAGTGGAACACGTCGAACACGAGCATGAAAAAAAAAGTACGTTGATGGTTGTCATGATTTGAGCCGTTTTGCTTATCTGAATTAAAAAAGTCCAATTGATTCTTATTTAGTATGTTTCTGGCTATAGCCGGTAGTAAAATAAAGGAAAAATATTGAAAATTTAAAAAATGGCGGAACTTTGAACATGAAGTTTCAATTTTTTCGTCTTTAAAACTGAAATTTTGTTCGGTAAGAACGATGATCCAAAATCATATGTTAAGATTCATTTTTAATAAAACAGCGCCATGTTAAATAGAAAAGTCTCTTCAATCGTGAGATTAATTTGTTAATTAGAATTTAGAATTTTGCAAGTATTTTTGTAAATTTGGTTCAGACGACAATGACGACATTTTTGGAACATCCACGCAAAATTTCATTAACATCGGACACACCGTTACAGAGATATTATGGCAACCATTTCGCAAAATATGCTTTCGAGAAAATTGCGTTTGAAGTTTTAGTTTAAGTTTAGATACAATAAAGAGAAATTAGATGTACTTATATATTATACAATCAATAATATCTACATTATACAGCGATCCTTCTTATTCCCAAAAACAGGTTTTCCAATTCAACGTAGTTTCCGAAATATTATCGTTTGTAGATTAAAATGGATCATCCTATATATTGTGTAAAATCAAGCTGGAGATTCAGTATCAGTAAGATAGCGGTGTTTACGTGTTTATCAGCTTACACATCGCAGTCGTCTATTACATCAGTAATTCAGTATTGAAGTTATCGGCGTTTGTGCTGTCACATGCTTAATAGACATCGCTCGGCTATCACTAGATCTTTAGCGCAATAAAGGAAATCGGCAAAATTTCCGTACTCGAGAGCAAAGTACATACACTAGATAATGTGCCCCTTCAAACCATGCAACTCTTGTATCAAAAATTTGTTCATATAACGCATACTTTAGAAGTTATTTGAGGTGTGCAAGTGGCGTGGACCACGCCTGCGTATTAACCCCTTAACATATGATTTCTTTTCTGACTACGCATCTAAGCGTCAGCCATTTACGGTTTTAGTACTGTATCAGGTAACAAAACCTAATCTGTTACAGATTAATTACATTTAGTAATCCTCAGTCTTCCAAATTAAAACGAATGCTAGGATTACGATTAATTTTTCTTACTGATATAACTATTTTTCTCACATCTTGACCAAAATCTTTGTCACGAGTCTAACTCGTTCTTATAGGTTAAGGAGTTAAAATTGGTCACCCCGTATATTCCAGAATATTTCAATAGAAAATTCTTGGAAATTTTTCCATGAAATATGTTCTAACAATAGAAAATATTAACAGCTTGTTTAAAAGCAAACAGACATTCTTGAATTTCTGAAGTTACTGTAGTAATTAAAAAAAGTAAATATTATCACCATGGGATGATTTTCTCATTTGAAACTGTATAAGATACCTTATAATTATTAATTTAGTTTGTTTAAATCTTGAATGTTCCAATCGAAAAATCAATAAAATTTTAAAAAAGTAGAATTATTAAATTTTTTATTAAATAGTAAACGAAAGCATAATTTCAATAAGTTTTGCACTACATATAACCTCCAACTATTAAGCAACGTTAGATTAGATCTAGATTCGTAGATGTGAAATATGAATACTGATTACATATGTAAGTTAGATAACAACATGTACATCTGTGTATTACATGCGTATAAACACAGTGTATAGTACGTATGTACGTATTTAGCCTCAAGGCATTCGTTCCATAGTCCATAATATTATTGAAGGCGCAGTGTATTACCATTAGTGGTCATTGATGATCAAGAAGTTCCAAACGTGATTATGCAGTGAAACTAATCCTTTAATTCATGTCAAACCTGTTTACTGGTCCAGACAAGGCATTTACCATAAAGCACATTAGCCGCAAGTTTGGGGCACATTTTAAAATCTTGCTCCTCACAAAAAACAATATAAAAAACAGCATAGTTATAGTTGCAAAACGAAATATATATTTTCAAATATTAAATTTATAATATGAAAACAGCAGGTCGCCGTTATTTTTTTAAATAGAATTATCTAATTTTTGATGCATAAATCGAAGCATCTTGGCATTCTTGACAAAACAGTATTAACCTAACTTATATCGAAAACCGTTAATTTAGGAGATATTTTATAATAATTTCAATATGTATAGCAAAGTGATTGTAATAGTTTTTCGACTCAACAGCGCTGTAGCGAAAGGGTTAAATGTTAGTGACCACCAGACTTTAAAAAATAAACATTAGTAACTTTACAATAACACCAAAAGTATCAAGAAAATCCATAAAATTAAGTAAAATACAAGTTAATTAAGTTAACGTATATTATAAAGAGTATGAATTACTTTGTAGGTGATAATTGTTGATCAGTTTGAGATCTTGAATAATCGGGATTAAATGGCGAGCTACTTCGAAATTTTATGCGGCGTCGCCGCATTACTTCTGGCTCTCTACTATTACTCCACCTCGACCTTCGATTTCTGGAAGAATCGTGGAGTAGTTGGTCCACGACCTATACCATTTTTTGGAACCAGCAAGGACCTCATGTTCGCGAAAATTTCAGTGGCCGAATACACTAAAAATATTTATGATAAATATAAAAATGAGCCATTGATTGGCTTGTACCATGGAAGATTGCCACTTCTCATTCTTAATGATCCAGAAATTATAAAAGATGTCCTCATCAGGGACTTCTCCAAATTTTCGGACCGAGGAACTCATACTTTTGAAAAAGTAAGTAAACGCATAAAATTCTACTTATAAAAGTTCTTTTTATTTTCGATCTTCTAAAATTATCGTGGAGAATTATTAAAGAAAATTCAACATCAACATTGATTCTTCTCTTCTTTTTTCATGTTATTATTGCTTAGTATGCATATGTATGAAATGTATCGATTACATTAACGATATATAAATTAAATCATAGTATTCACAAATTGCAAAATAATTTTTTGTTAAATAGAGAATATTATAGAAA